CCATATCTTCACGATTCTCATCTGTGGCTGGGTTGTGTGTGGATTGCACTGCGAAGGTATTTCATTAAATATCTGACTTCCTAGTACTCCAAGCGTTATTATTCAGGGATATTTTCTCTAACTTTGTGGCCATATCGGCATAAGGATCCTACCCATAAGAACCACCCACTATAGTATCCAATAACGCTTTATTATTATCATCCTATACCAATAGAAGTATTCCTTCAGAGACTCATCATCTATGCGGTGATTAGGGACACTTCTCAAAAATGAAGTGAATCTATCCCAAGAACTACTAACTGACTCTCCTAGTAGTGCCACAACGTTGTTCACTATGTCTTTGTGATTTAGTTTCTTAGAGACCGGGTACTAACGTGCTAAGAAAACGTCCCTTAGTTTGTTCCAAGTTCAAATTGAGTTATAAGGGAGCTCAGTGAACCAAATAGCAGCCTCTCCATTTAGTGAGAGAGGAAAAACTCTTATTTATATCACATCCAAATCCAAATTAGGCCTCTCTACACAGCTTTTACACATTGCCATTACCTTAGGTATATTGGCATGTGGGTCCTCAGGAGGTAGTCCTGAAAACAAACCTCTAGCAGTGAGCATTTGCATCAGACTACTAGTTACCACAAAGGTGTGGCCTTGTAGAAGAGGGGGCCAGAGAAGTGGCCCATAAGAATCTGTAATAGTATCATAAACTCTGTAGTATTATAGAGTGTGTGGAGCGGGATTTTGTCCCCTTAGTTGATTTTCATCAGGATTATCAGGTAATAACTTACCATGAACATCAACCGATGCTGGGATATTCTGGTTTGGATCAACATCGTTAATACCCAAGTTTCGATTCAAATTGCATAGTTTACTCTCTAATTCGTGGTCGTAGGGAAACAAGGGTTCTTTTCCTCTCTGTATATTTGGCATATAAGGAAGATAGTTCTGCAAGAATAAAAAAGAATAGAAAAGTAAAATTCAGAAAATATTGACTAAACATTAGTAATAAGTTTAAGTAAATCCAAAACCTACTTTCCCTGGCAGCGGCGCCAAAATTTGATAAGCTCAAACTTACTTCTTAAATAAGAAGTAATGTGGTCATATCAAGTAAAGAACCCAACTTATGAGGTTGGGATCATTCCCACTAGAAAAATATTTCATACTTAACTTTATTCTATTATTACTATTATTTAGTTAATTTTTTTCCTAGGAAACCAAAGACATTAAAGCGGGGGTTATATTTCTAAATTAATAAAAATATTTTACAATATTAAAGTAAACAGCTAACATATTCAAATCTTGGAGCTTAATCAATTAATAAAAGTAACTTGGGCTTAAGTGTTCCCCATAGGTTCCAAACTTGATAATTCTAACTATATCAATTCTTTCCTAGTATCTTGCATGCAAAGTGATTAGTTATGTATCTCTAAATCCTTGGTCTGGCATCTAGAAAATTTCACTCTGCACCTTGGTCCGGCTACGTTTGTTACTATACTAACTCTTACCTTTACCTCATATTAATCATTGTATTCGATATTTGAATAAGTTATTACCTCGTACCAATCGACACTAGCCTATTAGATAGTGTACACTAAATCTATGTTCATAATTCTTTTCATATTATCTACCTCCTTGGTTCGGCAAGTAGCATTAAAGAGATTGCTAACATTGGCCATCTGTTTAAAAGACTTCTAAATGAAATATTTATCAATAAAGGCAAGACACTATTCTAGAATTGTTATTTTAGTTAGATTTTACCTCATTATTCACCCATTGTTCCCACAACCCTAGTTATGGAGTTTCGTTACCCTTTGTTATAATCACACTATTCATATATTTAATATAAGAATTCATGCACTTAATTTGATGAGAAAGAATAAAATCCAGAATTTCACTTGGTTAATCAACAAAAGCACCAACAATCAATTCAAGAAAAAGTGTAACAATTGCTGAAATTAATCCTTTAATACTTGAACAAGAGAACTAAAGATTATCCAAAAGTCTAACTATCAAAAATTCTAACTCCAAAAATGAGGTTTTTTGAACTATTTATAATAAAAAGAAAAAACTAATAAAAGAAGGATTCTAATGACTGAAAATCTGTGAAAACGCGTCTGAGTCAACGAACCTCGTGACGGACCGTTGTGGTCACAACGGACCATCATGGCCTCCGTCATCCCATACTTCACAAATTCTTCTTCTGCTTTCTTCATTACCCTTGACAAATAGGTATGATGGATCATTCCAAGCACGACGGTCCATCGAGGATCTCCGTTCTATAATACTTTAACTTCTTGGAATTTTGGTATTGGACTACTCTCTGATCATTAAGACGAACCAGCAGGACAGACCATCGTGGCTATGACGGTCCGTCATGGACTTCCGTAATCCCACACTAGGTCAGACTTCCCCCTCTTCCTTCAGCAGCTTCTCTCCTCTCTATGATGACACCTATGGACCGTCAGAAGCTCGACGGACCATCATAGGCTCTATTGGTGGTCTCTTCTGCATTTCCCGCTCACAAACTTCTGGGTTCATCTTTGGACAGATTTCCTACAAAGAAGAATAAACTTACTTAAAATTAAAACAAAAAGGCTTTAGGACACACACTAAACTTATGGAAAAAGCATTAAAAATACATTGAAACCATGGAACATCAGCAAACCTCCAAGTAGATGTAATAAAAAGTTTTAAATTTTCCGTTAAATTTTACCTATGAATTTAATGATGTAAGCTAAGAGGCTAGTCTTAGTCTACAAAGAGGACAAAGACGCCTGTTTCTTCTAGGGGGTAAACCTGGATGTGACAATATAGTCTAATAATATTGTCTGACATTAAACCCTGTAAAAGGAGTACAAAATTTTGACATAGCCATTACAAATATAATATTCCATTATAGTCTTACGTCAGTAGTCTCAAACGATAAAGGAAGGAAACAAATGTCCTTAGACATAACAAACTTACTAGGCTAGATAGATGGAGCAATCCTCGAATCATTAAGGACTCACCAATATTTTTTTGAAATCTTCTTGCAAATGGCCTAAAATCTTTTCAACAACCCAAACCTACATATTAGTAGAAATTTAAAGAATATGGGTTAGTTAAACCACTTGTACTAAGTATGGAAACATATTCACATAAAACCATTTAAAGATATGCATGAAAAGGACCGTTTATTTAAAAATATACTAAGTCATTTGAAAAGCCCTTATGCCCACACAAGAGCATATACAAGTAAATCAGCATCACATAACTTAAGACAAGTTCATATCCAACACAAGACCATTATTATCATAAATCCATATCAACATAAATACCAAGGATATCTAAACATTAATATCTTGAACATAAAATCATAACCATAATTCATGTGTTAGATTTCATAACATTAAAATATAAGACCCTTACAAATAATCCCATCCTAAGACTACAAGTGCAATGCTCATGTGAAGCACCATAACCCACTTAATCAAGTAAATAAGAAAAGGAACCATAAATAATGCCTTGCTTCATATAAAAGAATCAGTTTGTGTAATCATATTCATATATAACAACATCAACCAATATCATGTTAAACAAACATTTAAGAGTAATATCACATAGAGTCAATGTATATGTTCATTTTATCGTAAGTGCATAATAACATAAGAACAACCTCCTAGGACCTCCCTCAAGGCCGACTTGTTAAATGTATAGAGAGAGTCCCATACCCCTACCTACACTAAGAAGAACTCCTTAAGTCACCCTAGTTATTGTTAAACTTCATTACGTATTACATAGTTTTACTTTTGGGAACAATCTCTTTCACCGATAGTAAATCATGTGATCTAAAAATGAAATCTGGTGTCGTGAAACCCTACACCGAAGGAAGGTGATCTACTTGCTAAAGTAAAACAAAAACATGAACATTGCAATCAAGGTGGATCCACTAGCTAGTATTTCTACGGAGGAAACATAGTTAAGGAATTAGGATACATACTAGAGACCCTCTTTAAGCACAATTGCACTGTAGTATCATCTCATGAGAACCATTGTAATGTTGTTCGTCTTGTGATGTACAAGCCTATGACTCAATAAATGTGTCATTGGGATTAATATGGTCTTATTGAATGTGCATAAAGGTTATTAATGAAAAGTTCATACTTATAGAATGTCCTTGTTCTTAGCCTAATTTAAAAGTATGTGTGCATATGGTCTCATACTTATTACAAGTGGTGTACTCACCCATTTCTTCCTTTTCCCATGTATTTTGGGTTCCGTTTGTTGAAAGTCTTTTTGAGATGACATTGAAGAAAACGTTGATTTCTTAGTCATCCAAGTAGAATAGGTCCTCACTTTCTAACGTTGTTTCCACTATCAATCCAGGATGTTGTTTTTAGTATTAAGAGTCTTATATTTCTTTCCTTTTGATTTGAGTACTAAACATTGTATGACCTATTTGTGGTATTGTTATTGATGTATGGTCTAGGCCTAAATTTGGTATACTTTATTAGATGGTTATGAGGTGAGACGATTATTTGAGACTATGTTATAATATATATATATATATATATATATAGATATACTTTGTGTATGTACATGTCTATGTAAGCCTCCAAGTAGAATGTAACATCCCGAATATAGTTATGCAAAGTAAGGCCATAACGAACCTACAATGCCTAGATTAGACTGGGTTCACACGGATTGATGCGCGTGGAACTAGACCTAAAAACCCATGTATTACCCAATCAACCAACTTGGTGAGTAGTTGATCTAGGCAAGCTCTGTCCAGCTATTTAGGTCACCATAATATATAAATATTCGCCCGAATGATTCTTAACCGTACTTGAAAAAGGTAATCTTAGGTTTGGAGGGTCTAAGGGTAAAATGGTATTTTCCATGCTAAGGTTAGTATTGTAATTAAACTATATATATTATTAATTAATTAATTAATTTTTATAATGGACAATTCGGGTAGGGTTGACCTTAATTTGATCATTTTTGCGAGTGGAGCTTCACCCGGGTTCTACCGTGGGTGGAAGCAATGTTAAATTGAATTAATATTAATTATTTGATTTACGTACGTGAATGATGAGTCATATAACCTGAACCTTAAAAATAAGATTTTTTATTTATAAGTAACAATGAGTCCTAGTTTGACCAAGTCTTCAACTAAAACTCCTACACTTACTCTCATTCTCACGACTTTCTCCACTCTCTTCTCACGTTATTTATCAGAAAAAAGAACAAAAAAAATCAAATATTATCACTTTCAAAACTTGCACATAAAAATTCAAAAGAAAAACTAAACACAAAATGAAAAGTGAAAGCATCTTTCAAATGGTTTGCGCGTAAGTTTTGTTGGAGAAGCATTTTATTTTTCATGGGAGTTGGCAGCACTTTAGATCAGATTTTAAAGGTTTTATGTGACGAGAAAAGGTATGTCTTTTCTTCGTCTTAGTCGCTTTCCCCAGAGACCCCTATGTTTTAGTCAAATTCTAATCCAAAAACTAGGAATTTTCCCCTTTGTATGTCCATGTCACTAGTTCCCATCGATTGTTGTAATTTGGGTGTGTTTGATGATAGAATTTAGGGATGTAACATGTTTTCATGATGATTATATACATGTATTTATGTTCAGGTTTATGTGAGGATGAAAATGTGTTCAATGTGTATGTAGCCGTGTTCTTGAGCATGGTTTGGAGCATGAAAATGGCATTTTTAAATCCTTGTGTTTTTGTATGAAATTACTTGTAAATGATTCATATAATAATGTATGAATGGCTAACGAATTTTCCAAAAAAATTTATTGTATAAATGTCGAAAAAGGGGTATTGAAAAGATGACCTAATTTAAAGAAATTTGGAAATTTGGCTCGTGTTGGGCAGTTTTGAGGGATGTGTATTTCAAAATTTTTGTAATGTGAGGTCATCAGGTATTGAACCCAATACCTCACCATATGAAATCTATAAAAATATTCAATAATAAAAATGAAGTACAGGGTATTCAAAATGGGGTAAGTCTCAAGCGAAGAGTTAGGAGAAAATGAAAATTAAAATAAAATGAGGTATGAAAAAAGATAAAATGAGGTATGTGGGGATTGAACCCACAACCTCTAAGATAGGTGAGGAAATAAGGAGGAATACTAAAGGAAAATAAAATGATGTTCTAGGGGATTGATCCCACATCCTCTCGGCCTAAAACAGAAAAGTCGAGGAGAGAGAAGTAAGAAAAGAAATGTAGTCTTTGGGATTCGAATTTGGGTCCCCAAGCTGAAATTTAAAATAAAAATTTAATATAAGACTAAGTGTATCTCAAGGAATTTGAAATTGGATTCCCTCGCCCAATTTCTTATTGACAAATAAGTCTCATATGATTAAATATTTAATGAATGTTTCTTATAGGAAGTTAAATTGAGACCGTGGCGTAATTACAAGAAGCACATGTTTTGTACCACATAATCTTGGGTAAGTATATGTCACTTGGATGAATTATGAGTGAAGCCTCATGGCTTGTACATATGGGTTCATATGTCCAGCGTACATTAAAAGCAAGTGAACCTAAGTTGTATGTGATGAATTGATATGATCCAGGAGTGTTAAGTAAGGGTGTAAAACATACTAAAAGGCCAAGTGTATTGGCATATAATGAAATGACCATTCACGTAAAATGGGGTGAGTAATTATGATGAGCTAATATGGTAAAGTTAATGAATGTCGTGACAACATGATAAGGGGCTAATATGAAAGATGAGATCAATCTCAAATGAGCCTAAGTAAGTGTTACCAATAACGTACTCACCAGTGAGACTGCATTGTTAATGAAGAGACCAATCTCTGAGAAACATTCTAATGAATGTATTGAAATTAATACACACATAATACTAATGATGAGATGAGAAATCATCTAATGATAAATGATGTCCCCATGATAGAAGCTAGCTTCTATTATGTGTGAGATGAATGTAATGGATCTTTATGCGGAGCACCGATAGGCTAGATATGAGTCACGATTACTTCTTTCATGAAGGCAGAGGTTCGTGTAAATCTCATGATATGAGACTGTCCATTTAGGTGGGTATGGGTCTCCCTATATCTCCTAGTTTTTTAACCTATGCACCTAACATAAGGATCTAGCAGGGTTGAATTCCCTGTATACACTAGCATGTTTTGGTTTCAATTTGGCCGGTGATTCCACCTCTTTTTCTGTGTGGGGTAGACAATGGATATGATTGAGCTCACATGATCTGTGTTAGTTAAAGTTAAATTTCTCAATGAAAGAATGAGGCTTGCCTTAGTAATGGACAATATGAAATGAATGATATCTAAGGTGTTTGGTTAAGTTAATCAAGAGGTGAACTAGACTAAAATAATGATACTAGGTTGTTCTTGATAATTGCACAATGAACCCGATTAGAATCTGAAATTACATCCTAGGAATGGCTGGTGTTTGCACCACCCTATGAATGAATGAAACGAATGAAAATGAAGTATGCAATGTATGAATGGAGTAGACTATGTTTTTGTTACAGAAGGCTCCTAGTTGAGGTCTCATATGTTGAGCCCTCATTAAGGGAAGTACTAATGTTATGTCCATGATTCCAAGGTCTCATGGTATACGAACGAATGATATATGGTATGTGTACGTGCTATATGAAATATGTTATGTGTTGTGTGCAATATGAAAAGATAGATGATGCATGTTACTCTCTTAGTATGACTTTTCTAATCTAGTTTGGCAAGTCCAACTTACTTGGCTTTTCATAATTCATATCGTTTGGAGAGAGCTCTTCTTAATCAGGCATGTCATTGGTGTGTACTTGCGTACACCCATACTTAGTACAAATATGTACTAATCCCATACAATACTCTACTTTTACGTGTAGGTGCAGGTGGATGCTAGAGCTTACAAGACTACGTTAAAGCTATCTGGACATGGAGCACTCATCCGGACTTGGTAGGCTCTCATGATTTGAACGATACTTATCTTTTATATTATACCTTATATGTAGGCATGAGCTAGTAGAGAGTCTTCCAATAGCATTTCTTTCTTACTTATTTCAGATGTTATGTTGGTGACATTTTGGAAACTTTATATTTATGAAGTTATGAACTATTTCCTTTATTTGAATATCTCATTATTAGAAGGTTGTTGTGATTTTATGTGATATAATGCATTTCTTACTATGAAGTCTATGTATACTCCAAAGCAAATAAAAGTTTTTTAATTTTCCGCTAAAAGTTAACCTATATGATGTAATGATGACATATATAAGCTTGTCTGCAACTTCTGATAGGTCAACGATGCTGGTTTTGACTACGGTATATGACCCGATCGTGAAAAGTGTTGTATCAGAGCATTAGGTTAAATATCCAAGACATCAAACTCATACAACCACGTTAAGTTGTTTCTAAGTTATGGTAGTAAAGTGCACCACTATTATGGATTATAGATTGCATAATGCTTAAGAAAATTCTCTTCTTATGATGTTATCCTGCCTTCTATAATTTCTGATTACATGGTGTTACGAGTGTATCTACCATCAATTCTTATCTTTTAGAATATGTTCACAAGGAGGAACATATGCTAGGGAAGAGGAGGAGGAGCTGCTGGGGGCAACTAAGTTGCACCTGAGGCCCCAGTTGCTGGAATGGAGATGCCTTTTAACCTAGTTGGATTGACAAATGGAGAAGTGACGATAGCCCTGGCACAGATGGCCCAAGACATCACTTTACAAGCTCTGGATATGACAACCCAGACGGAGCAACGAGGTGTTCCCATAGAGAACCCATATTCCAGCACCATGGCTAGAAGGTTAAGGGACTTCACGAGGATGAATCCTCCCGCTTACATTGGATCTAAGACTGCGGAATATCCCCAAAAGTTTGTGGATGAAATCCACAAGATACTATGTGCAATGGGTTTTACTGATATGGAGAAGGCTAAGCTGGCATCCTGCCAGCTAAAGGATGTAGCTCAATCCTAGTATAAGATGTTGCAGAATAGCAGACGACTTCTCTGGAGTGGTTCTTTCGCAGAAAAAATGAAGGAGGCTAAGGTTAAAGAATTCATCAACCTCAATTAGGCCTCGATGTAAGTCAGGGATTACTCTCGGATGTTTGTAAAACTTTCTAGGTATGCCACTTCTCTTGTGTGTAAGAGCAGAGATGAGATGAGTAGATTCTTGAAAGGGATTACTGAGGATCTCGAGGAGGAGTGTAGGGAAACTACGGTGCATGAAAACATGGACCTTTTGTCACGACCCAAATCCGGGCCGCGACTGGCACATACACTTACCCTCCTATGTGAGCAAACCAACCAATCTAAACCTTAACATTTCAAGGTAATATCAACATAAAGTAATGCGGAAGACTTAAACTCATTAATAAAATCAATAACTATTATTATTCCCAAAATCTGGAAGTCATCATCACAAGAACATCTACTTTAAACTACTAATTCTAAGAGTTTCTAAGAAGCTAAAAATACATAAGCAGCTAGTCCATGCCGGAAGTTCAAGGCATCAAGACATGAAGGAGAAGATCCAGTCCAATCTAGAAGCGTTAGCTCACCCTGAAGATCCGGTGTGACGAAGACTGGCTTGAGTTACTGTTAAGTCGAAGATGACGGCACGTTTGCTGCACTCCACAAATAACAAGAAGAAAAACATAAAAGTAGGGGTCAGTACAAAACATGGGTACTGAGTAGATATCATCGGCCAACTCAAAATAGGGAACAGTATATATACAATATTATCGTAAATCTAACTATAAAACTCAACATGTAGCAAAAACAAGTAATATAATCATCAATAAGTACCATCAAGTTCATCCATGAGGGCTCAAGCCTTAATGCCATACTCATTTGGGAATTAAGTTTATTAAGTTGAGTATATTATCATCTTTCAAGATTCATTATCTTTCCTCTTCTTGTGTCGGTACGTGACACTCCGATCCCCTACTACTATGTGTCGGTACGTGACACTCCGATCCCCTAATTCCATGTGTCGGAATGTGACACTCCGATCCCCTACATGTGTCGGTACGTGACACTCCGATCCACTAATACTATGTGTCGGAACGTGACACTCCGATCCACTAATACTATTCTGTAAATAATCAATCCTTCTCTATTCCAAGGCATCATCGATCCCATTACTTTAATTCATCAAGCCTTCTTCTATACCAAGGCATCATCATTAATAATGTATATTAAAGTTTCTTCTCAAGATTTGGGATTCAATATTTTCATCATGCTTATCTTATCACAATCACATAATTATATTCATGCAAACATACCATTAAGCATATAGTAGGGTTTACAATACTACCAATACATATCATTCACTATTAAGAGTTTACTTATGAATCATGAAAACCATAACCTACCTCCACCGAAGAATTGAAATCAAGCAAGTTAATCCTCAAAGCTTGGTGTTTTCCTCTTCTTCTCGATCGTTTCTCTCTCTCCCTTCTTGTTCTTTCTATTTTCTTATTCAAACCCTCTTTCTTTTACCCTAATTAGTATATAACTAAGAATAAAAGATGGCAATAATACCCCACTAATTAACTTAGGGTTACCTCTTTTAACCCCCAAGAATTTGAGTTATTAATATAAACCCACGAAATCTATAATTAAGGAAAGAATAGTCCAAAAACGTCCCTTAAAACGTGTAAGGAAATCCGATTCTGCCTGGGATTTGTGCAACCTTTGACGGGCCGTCGTGCCTGCGACCGTCCGTCCTGTAGGTCGTCGCAAGGGTCAGAGAGTCAACTTCCACTGAACAATCTGTGACGGTCCGTGCTGCCATTCCGTCACGAAGTTCAGAGAGTCGATTTTCAGTACCCAATTTCAGATTTTCTAAGTGTTTTGAAACGAGACCCTGCGACGGTCCGTCGTGCCCTTGACGGTCCGTCGTTTGGTCCGTCGCCTCAGCCTGTTTTTCCAGAATTGAAGTTTGTTGCTCAAAACGACTAAACAGGTCGTTATAATAGATACCAATTTACATATCGTTCGTCCCCGAATGATCAAAAGAAGGAAAAAAAGGGTGAAAAGGAGTACCTGAATCTGTAAACAGATGTAAGTATTTTTCTCGCATATCCGCCTCCTTCTCCCAAGTGGCTTCTTCAACGGGTCGATTCTTCCATTGCACCTTGATGGATGCAATCTCTCTTGACCTCAACTTGTGAACTTCTCTATCTAAAATAGCAACAGGCTCCTCCTCATAAGACAAGTTCTCATCAAGCAAAACTGAATCCCAACGGATAATGTAGTTCCCATCCCCATGGTATCTTTTCAACATCGACACATGGAATACCGGGTGTACTCTGGACAGCCCTGGAGGCAAGCCTAACTCATAAGCCACCTCTCCTACTCGCTTAAGTACTTCAAATGGTCCAATGTACCTTTGACTTAGTTTACCCCTTTTACCAAACTGCATCACCCCTTTCATTGGTGAAACTTTCAACAAGACTTGTTCACCCTCCATGAACTCTAAGTCTCTGACCTTTCGATCTGCATATTCTTTTTGTCTACTTTGCGCCTCTAGAAGCTTTTCTTGAATAGACTTCACTTTCTCTATCGAATCCCTCAAAAGGTCAGTACCCCAAGGCCTAACCTCAAATGCATCAAACCATCCGAGATGTAAAGTTTGGCTAGCTTCTTTGCATTGTAAGTTAACTTGACCGGAATGAAGTGAGCAGACTTAGTTAACCTATCAACAATTACCCAAATAGAATCAAACCTTCCTAATGTCTTGGGAAGACCAACCACAAAGTCCATTGCAATTCTTTCCCACTTCCATTCCAGAATGGGCATTCTCTGAAGGTTTCCTCCGGGCCTCTGGTGTTCATACTTTACTTGTTGACAGTTTGGACATCTGGCAATAAAATCAACAATATCACGCTTCATTCTACTCCACCAAAAGTGTTGCTTTAGATCACGGTACATCTTGGTTGCACCCAGATGTATCGAATACTTTGAACTATGAGCCTCTGTCAGAATAGTGTTGATCAGATCATCAACTCGGGGTACACATACCCTTCCCTTGATCCTCAAAACACCTTCCTCGTCAATTTGTGCCTCCTTAGACTCTTCTCGCAATACCTTATCTTGAATTCTGCACAGTTTCTCATCATCAGACTGTTTTCCCTTAATCTTGTCAAGAAAGGAAGATCTTGCCTCCACAGAAGCCAACAATCCTCCCTTCTCATTTACTTCTAATATCATCAAGTCATTAGCTAGAGTCTGAACCTCTCTAGCCAATGGGCGTCTAGAAGCTTGCAAGTGAGCTAGACTTCCCATGCTTCCCGCCTTCCTACTTAAAGCATCCGCTACAACATTCTCCTTCCCCGGATGATACAAGATAGTGATATCGTAGTCCTTTAGTAACTCCATCCATCTCCTCTGTCTTAAGTTCAAATCTTTCTGAGTAAAGACATACTGAAGGCTACGATGATCCGTGTAGACCTCACACTTAACCCCATATAAATAGTGTCTCCATTGCTTTAATGCAAACACTACCGCAGCCAATTCCAAATCATGAGTTGGATAGTTACGTTCATGCACTTTTAATTGTCTTGAAGCATAAGCAATCACACTCTTCTCTTGCATTAGTACTGCACCCAACCAAGAATAGGATGCATCACAATAAATAATGAAGTTCTTACCCTCTACTGGCAAGGTAAGAATAGGTGCGGTAGTCAACAAAGTCTTGAGCTTCTGAAAGCTTTCCTCACATTCGTCCGACCATACAAATGAAACATTCTGCTTAGTCAAGTTTGTCAATTGGGAAGCAATAGAAGAGAATCCCTTGACAAATCGGCGGTAGTAGCTAGCTAACCCAACAAAGCTCCTTATTTCTGACACATTAGTAGGTCTTACCCAATTCTTCACTGTCTCAATCTTAGAAGGATCCACCATCAATCCATCCTTAGAAACCACGTGCCCCAAGAAGG